ACAGAGATCCCAATTTTTGGCCAAATCCAGAAGTATTTGATCCAGATCGATTTTTGCCTGAAAAGATTCAAAATCGTCATCCTTACTCGTATTTACCATTTAGCGCTGGACCACGTAACTGCATCGGTAAGCTTTTTTCTTTTATGAATTGTTTATATGGATGATTGTGTAATACATATCAAATTATAGGCCAACGGTTCGCTCTACTGGAAATGAAAGCGATGGTAGCCCCTGTGATACATAATTTCTATTTGGAACCTATTGATTATTTGAAGGATCTTCGGCTGCAGATTGATTTAATACTTCGACCTGTTCATCCACTTCGTGTAAAATTTGTTCCTATCTGCAAAATGAATGCAAGTAGTTGAAGTAAATTCAAATTCAACAAACGTTGTAAAAGGCAAATGTTACAAAAATTTAAAAAATATTGTTCTTGTTATGTATTATATAATATACATATACAGGGTGGCTCATTGAAAACGAAACAGACTGAATAACCCCTACAAAAATGATTTTTCGAAAAAACACAAAAACACGTCGATTTTTATTCGAAGGTGGACATCTTTTGACGTATAATTCTTATCTCAACTTCAACCCCTTAAGTGGGGGTGTCAAACTCTAAAAAACTTTAAATGGGAAGGGGGGGTTAAATGCAGGGATTGGAAGTAACTCGTTACTTGTAACGCCGTTATCATTACAGTTACTTCTTTTTGGTAACGGATTGGTAACGATGTTATTTAATTTTTTTAGCAACTGTAACAGTAATATAGTTACATATTTTCGGTAACGATAACGAATTATACAGTTACTTTTATCGTTACTTTTTGTATTTTAAACTTTTTGCGTTTATGACCAAATTTTTATGCATATTCAATGTTCAGTTTTTAGCCTGTATTCACATAATTTACTCTTATTTTAAGACTGTTTTAAATAATATTTTAAAATATTAATATAACTCTGTGATTGGTTTATGATATATCTAAAAGAATGCCATAAGTCAATTAATATCACAAATTAAATTGATAAATACTTTAATAAGATATTTTTACGTTATATGTATATGCATCTTAAAATACTTTAAAAAATTTATTGTGAAAAATATCAGCTGAATTGCGTTTTAAAATCGAAAATTTAATTGGCGCATAGTTTGTAAAATTAAATATGTATATATAAATTTGTTTCGAAATATTAAGAACGAAGCTGGAAGCTCTAGATCATATTGAAAAGGCCTTCATATTCCTATAGTTATATTTTTATATATCGGTCTAGTGTCATTGTTGTATTGCTTTTATTAATATTAAAACAAAAAATTGCATTTTAAATTATTTAGATTGATCTTGTTTCAGCATTAAAAAAGTAACG